TGCATACATAGACACGTATAGTGGGAAGTTGCAGCCATTAGGTGCTGAGCATTATTGGCCACCGAAACCTTTTAAGATGGTATGTAACAAGGACTATTTGCGCAAGCTGCAAGTGCAAACCATCGCTGGGCAGAAAACCACATATGTCCACCGCTGGGCCCATGCTCGCCCGGCACATGCTCCTATATAGGTATGCGAGAACAGCAACACCCAAACTGTACTGGGTAAAACCATCCAGCTGCTGAAGATGATGGAGAAAGCGCATACTCACTTTACTCCCCGAAGTGTTCGGGAACAAGACACACCCGAAAAGCAGGAGCAGCGCCAACCGCGTGTACCTCTCAATGTGGAGATCCTCAGTCTCGCCGGTAATGTCTGGGTGCAAAAATGCCATATAATCTCTGATAGCTGACAAAGCAACGCGACTGCCCCCAGCGTCACCCTGAGGTCTATAACCAATAAGATGCCCCATCATATCCAAAAACCGTGCACGCGTCATGGATCTAATGTACTGGGGCAGTGCTACGGCCTGTCCATCTACGCGCAGCCCGTACGAAACCTGAACATCCTCCAGCGTGATGGTGGCCTCTCCAGTGGGTAAGTGAAAAGTGTGCGTCTCCGGTCGCCACCGCTCTACCAAGGCCGNCGTTTTAAGTATAATATTGCGAACTTTAATAAAATATAGCTGGGCCCAGCATCTTAGTAAAACGCAGTATAGTACTGCGAATTACAAAAAAAAATAATTTTTTAAGTAAAACGCAGTACTATACTGCGAATTACTTTAACGGCAAAATTTCCGTTAAAGTAATTCACAGTATAATACTGCGTTTTACTCATTTATGTAACTTTTTTTTAAAGTAGTACAAAAGTGTTTTTTGTCCAAAAAATGATTAAAAAGGTTTCGGACTCCCCTGTTAGTACCCAAAGCAGCAACAAAATAATTTTTCAAGTTGAAAGATTGAATAAATAGAGTGCAAAGTACTGGCAGACTTTACACGTGCACACACACCCGAAGTAACAGACTGGTTCAGCTAACACAGTAGATAAATACTCCCTCTATCCAAAATGTTTGTCTTTTTCTGAGGGTCAAACTAAGTTATCATGCACCAACAATTTTTATTCTACTCCTCGCTGATTTGATATGAGAATTTTGCAATTTATACTCCCTCTTGTTATTATTGTACTACTTATGCATGCCTGAGCCGAGGGTCTATTGGAAACAACCTCTCTACCTCCACAAAGGTAGGGGTAAGGTCTGCGTACACACTACCCTCCCCAGACCCCATTAGGTGGGATTATACTGGGTATGTTGTTGTGTGTTGTTGGTTCCATTTTATATGAGGTTACTTGATTGGAACGGTGCTCTAGATGTTAAATTTGATTTTCAGCTGATCCCTGCCTATAAATAGGCATCACTACTCATTTGTATCACTCATCCATAACAGCGTACTTTTTCTCTGGCAATAAAACTTTACTGTGTGACAATGGATTAGGCAAAAATTGCCGAACCACATAAATTTTGTCTTGTAAAGATAATTGAATTTTTGTTTTCGTTATTTTTCCTTCCTATTTCCTGACACGCTTCCCGCTATCAAAATAAAATACTTGGCTTATGAATTAATATAAATGATAGAGAAAAAATAATGATTAGTAATTGAAAGTTTGATAGAGAAAATATCACATTATTACTTGAATAGCTTAATGACCTTGAATTGTTGAAAGTTGCAAAGGTTGTACGAAAATGGTATGACATCAAATACTTTGGGAAGTCTCAAATAGGAAAGAGTATCACACAAATCAAGATGGAGAAAAAAGTACTCTTCGCACAATTTTTGAACATCTCAATTAAATTCAAAAAGTAAATTCAATCTAGTTGCGAAGTTAGTCTAAGTGACCATTGATTGATAAATGAAAATGACAAACAAATAGGGAAAGAAATAGTAGCATAATTTGTATATGCCTTTACTAATTATATGGCAAAAGTTCTAGATGTAAATGACTTCCCATGACTCTAGAAAATACAAAATAAAAAACAAAATTTACACTTCTATTTTATAAGCATTATGCTGGATAAATTATATAAACCTATTTTATATTACATTCTTAGAACTGCATATCTGTTTCCTTTAATTAGTCGATAGGCAGCTTGAAGCCACAAAGAACCAGAAAACAGATTTGATTAAATGGGCAAACCCTTAAAACAAGTAACATGCCATTATTGTGTGTTCTCTGTAAGAGAAAATGACATGGCAGAGGAATACCTCAAGAAATGCCTTCAAGATGGAGAGTGAAGCCAAAATTAGAACTCCATCAACCGCAAAAGAAACCTGCATTCCTCCAACAACGAGAAGAGATAAGAGAGAAGATCCTAAACATACAACAACAACAAACCCAGTAGTTTCCCACAAGTGGGAGAGAAGATTCTGAACATAACTTCTGGAAATGATCAATTAGAAGATCAAAACTAAGAAAACACTAATAGCCCCGACATGGTAAATAAGGAAAAGAAACATGGTACTAAGCAGGTGTGAACTGAATTGAAGTTTCTAAAGGTGGATTGCCTCATGTTGCCATGAAAGCACAAATCAACTTTAACTCGTAAAATTAAGAAAAACATAAAGTTAGCACATTAGGAAATATGCCAACTTCCTATTACAATGCAATGGGATACTATGTTGCCCGGAACCTCCGAAAATGTGGCTGAGTTTGTATTGAATCCTTCAAAAGTAGTGCATTTTTGAAGGATCCGACACGAGTGTGGTAGCATTTTGGAGAGTCCACGCAACATAGATGGGATAAGTCATTGCAATTCTGCTAAACATTCATTTCCCTTTAAAGAGGTGGCTAAAGCGAAGTTGGGAAACCAGATACCTTGGAATTCACGTTAGATTAAGCTCATGCTAGCTTCAAATGGGAAATCATAAAAAGTGTGTTGGTACAACCAAAAACTTCTAACTAATTTACACATAAATTGCTCTATGCAATACCCTGATTACCTAAGTTGCTCGGACTCGGGTGCGGGTGTACGATACAGGTGCGGATCTAGAGGTCAGATCCTTCATGATCTAAATTTTAAGATTCAGGAATACAGATCCAAGTATGGATACAGGTGCAGAGATTCGGCTAAAAATAACTCAAATATCTATAATAGAGTTACAAAAATATGTCCAAATTATGAGACATTATGTGAAAAACTCAAGGTATTCCGAGAAGGAGAAAATATTGATCAAGAGGAGAATCCGAGAAGGAGATAAAAGGAAAAGGACTGACATATAAATTCTATATACAAGGTATTCCATTTTCTTCAGTTTTACCCTAGTTTTTATTTTGATTTCAGAAATCACTATATATGTCCCGAATTTCTCCTCGATTTTGGTCAAAGTACCCAAAATCGGTTGACCAGATCCGGTACGGATCCCACACTCACACCCACGTCGTGTTGACAGGAGTGCAATACTGAAAGTGAAGAATCCGAGCAACTTAGCTGATTGCTGGTCTTAAAAGAATTTTATACACGCGTTTTTAATACAACAAAACAGAGGACAACTCTGTCTGGATAAATGGTGTGTTCGGTATAGGCCAGTCATTTTCCGAAAAATGACTTATTTTCTGAAAAAAAATTTTTATGGAAAATGTTTTCCAATGTTTGGTTGAACATTGGAAAATATTTTCCAAAAAATACATTTATTAAAGATTTATAGTAATATTAGCAAACTGGATAGTGTTTTATTGAAAACTGAGTATTAAAAACTGATAATAATGTCAAGTGTTAGTTAAAGCAGTGATACGACGTTAAAAGTTGATATAATTGTGAATTAAAATGATTTCCGCCCATAGGTGAGAGAAGTCATTTTCCCCCTTCAGTGATAAATGTTTTCCCTGAAAAGTATTTTCTGGAAACAAAAAACCAGAAAATGACTTTTCTCTAAAAAACAATTTTCAGAAAAAATTTCCCATCATACCAAACACACCCAAAATCCACAAAGAACATGTTGAGTTATGATTTTCTTCATTGCTCATTCAATAGCTGATGGTGAATGACCCAAGATACGCTGCTTTCCATCAATGGAAGAAGACCGCAGTACTACCATAGAATATCAAATAACACTGATCTCTCAACCAACCATAATGTCACCCACAATCCACAAAGAACATGGTGAGTTATGATTTCTTCATTCCTCATTCAATAGCTGATGGTGAATGACCCAAGATACGCTGCTTTCCATCAATGGAAGAGGACCGCAGTAGTACCATAGAATATCAAATAACACTGATCTCTCAACCAACCATAATGTCACAGAAGACTGTACTACCTGTCATACTGCCAGTGGCCCCGACAGTGCCACGCTACGCAGACAACACATAACAGGGTTACCTACAGTGCAGCAAGAGTATTAGTCGCTTGGGCACAGTGTAGAATTCAAGAGGAGTGAAATCTCGGGGTGGAGCTTGAAAGATGGTAAGATGCAAGACTGCACACACCGAAGATGGCCTTGTTTCTAATTCAGTTCATACAAATTTCACTTGCCGTAATCTCACCGTTGCTGTGATCATATGCAACTTCGAAGGGTAACGACACTGTCCACAAGTATGAGAATGAACTGAAACTTGACAGAGGAATAGAGGATGTTCAAAACGAGTCTATATAACTGAAGCCACCATGATATAGTGGCAACAACATGTTTACTCCTGTCGCTTTGTTTATTTTAAGACATATATAAGGGGACATAAATTGTGACTGCATACTGTGCGTGCCACCAACAAGCTGCACGACTGAACAATCTCGGATGTCATCCTCAAGAGCTTGTCTAGCGACTTGAAGGAGTGTTTAAGGTCACCAATGAGCTAGGAAAATCTGTGGACAATCCATAGTCGCAGTACTAAAATTGAGTGTCCGTAGTTGGACGTTGCCAGTACGTGATGACTGTGTTCTGCAGGCTACAATTTGCGAGTGAAAAACTCCTCCCTGCTTTTGAACACTGGAGGCACCACTCTTTTAAATTTCGTGCAATAAGTTGTGAGCTTGGCTAGGTTCAATCTTGAGAGAAGGATCAATTGGCTTAGAAGTGTAGTTGAGAAGCAACATCACATGATGGCTGGAAATGTCTTACACTATATACTAAGTGTGGGTATTATTTGACAATCGCACTAGAAGCAAGAAAAGGACTTAGGATTGACCCTCATCTGGTGATGATAAGTCGGGTATGTTGGGGCAAGCACGAGGCAAGTGCACAAACTTTTAATTTGGAATTTCCCTACTCGAGCAATGATCAGTATGAAGTAAGAGGCGACCAATGGCCTTAACCATTACAGATGCGCATACACAATATATGAGTTGCGGTCCGAGAGTATTATATCTAGTCAAGGACAAAGCCTCAAGCACAAGATGAGCGACCTGTGTTATGCAAACCTCCCACTGACTACAAGCTCCACCATGAGGTTGTCATGACCATAGTCCAAGAGGAACACCATTGTTTTTAAGAAAAAGACTAAGAGGATGAGATCTTTCTTGAGATAACGCTTAAGGCGTTAGGAAGCATGAGAGTATTCTGCTAATTTACTTTGAGCACCTGATCATGCCACCAGGTTATCTGCTGGGAAGGCTTGAGATGAGAGTAGACTGGTTTGTGGTTTAATGTGACCACAAGCGTCACACGGGCAATTTGTGTGCCACTGCCGCTATAGGAGAGTTGCCCATGACGATATTTATGTAAAAGGTGAAGAAAGTCATTTTGAGGGAGATCAGGTGGTCGGTGCAACTGAAACAGGGATGCACCTACAGTTGAATAACATAAGTCTTTTGACGAGCTACTTGAGAATTGATACCATTTCCCGTTTACCTCCCTCCACATACAAAGAAAAGAAAGTTTATCCTTCAATCGGAACTAACGACCATCATACATCTACAACTAACAATAAAAATGCTTAGTTTTTCAACATCCTAACACAGTCAAGGTACAAGAAACGTACATTCTAGTTCCAGGTAGATAAGCTTCAGCTATAGCATTAAACTTATGCCTATGAAAGGACACTATTTCAGCAACAAAATCTTTTAGAAACCAATTCTCATATAAAATATCCTATTTGTTAGGGGCGCACAGATGCATTCTTTGAACTCGAACTACATATGTAGTTGAAATACACACACGCACGCATGACAAAGTCCAAACCCATTGTCAAAAACGATTAGTGACACTCTGCATTCTAGAGGTGGATCTATGATTTGAACTTTATGGGTTCGAGTTTCGGGATTCCACCGCAACTCATTTGATTTACTAGGTTCGAAATCAATATTTTGTACTCTATTTAGTGATTTTTTTTAACAAATATATAGTCCGGGCCAAAGCTAACCCAGATGAACCCAAACAAAAATTACACTCTACAGTGCACCCTCTAACTTAAAGCCCTGGGGCTCCAAAACTGCTAGTAATGTATATGCTTAATTATTGAGATTTGTGAGTATACTAGGAAAGAGGAAGTTTGAAGAATTACAAGCTGTGGAGGAATGACGTCCGGCAGTATAGAACGGGTAGCTTTCCTAGCACGCTTTGAAACCTTCTTGAACATGTTCCCCACTAACCTCATTAGCAAATCCAAACTGCTCTCTGTCTCCTCTTCCTCATCGCTATCTTCTTCATCCTCTTCCTCTACCAATTCATCTCCTTCAAAATTCATTCGGTACATCCTCTCTGCTGCTTCTCCAAACGATCCACCAAACTAAACACCGAGAAAACCAGAAAAAAAGAACAAATTAAATGAACTCGAACCAAATTAAATGATTGATTATTTGATTGAAAAAAGTTAATTGACCTTGGCATGGCAAATGGTCAATTTAGGGTTTCTGCGAAGAAGTAAGGGGAGAGGTAATGAGTGACAAATTGGAGAAAGAGAAGATGGTGAAGTTGTTAATGATAATTTGACGGGAAATGGTAGTGATATTGGGAGTATGACGGCAGCTCCCGCCATGAGCTTGGTCCTCGGTTAAGCTTCTGGATTTTTATTTTTATTTTTAAAATAAAAATGGAAACGACAGCCAAAATTCGTGACAAAAGAAATAGAAAAAACAAAATGCTGCCGCAGTAGCCACTTGAACTTCCAACAGTCAAAACTGATGTATAAATTGGACCTCAGCGTTCAAAAATTGTTGAGAAATGAAAAACGACTCAATTTTTTTGACCTTTTCCATTTTTCTAATGATGTCTAGTTGTAAAAATAGTTTCCTGTTATGAGATAAAGACTATAAAGTAAAGACAAGTATAGAGAGAAACTAATATATTATTCGAATTCAAATTGATGTACATAATAAACTGAAACCTCTTCTATTTATAGAAGAAAGGAAGCTGCTCCGTAAGCTGCTACTACAAGCTGCTGTGTAAGCNGGGGTAATGTTTATCCATAACTGGGTACCAAAGTGATAAGCTTCTTCAGGAAGCTTATTTCCAATATAATACTAAATAGATAAACATATTTACGGTGGAGTCTCATATGGATAAGCTTCTTCAGGAAGCTTATTTACAACGGAGTACTAAATGAACATCCATAATATAATATATTTATAACATTTCCTAATTTTTGCCAGTATTTGGATTCTGAAAAAACTTTTCACATGAAATAAACCCTAATCCTTGGTTCCACGCGTTCACACTAACACTTCTTATGAAAAATTTGTGTAAAATTTACGTGTTTGAATATTGTGTAAAAATGGTGTATGGTAGCCACTAAGTAAGATGGTCTTTTTTTTATATACTAATTATAATGCTCAGCAAAAATAGCCACTACTAATAGCAAAAAGATAGTTTTACCCTTTCTTCAATTCTTATATTGCTAAACCCTTGTTTTATTCATTCAGAAGAGGGAAAATTTGAGAGCGAAAATTTCAGGGCAAGTTTCGCGTGCTCCTCATCTTTATCGTCCTCACATGCAAACTAGTTGCACTTAATCTTTCTCGTTCTTCATCTTCTCTGCATCGAACGATCGAACTGGTAATTTTTTTTTTGCTTTTATGCATTTTTGTTTTTGTATATGCGTAATCGCGATCAATGCTGTGTCAAGTATGTGTGAAATTTCAAAAATAATGATTATAAGTTGATNTAGATAATGTGCCTCATTAAAACCTTACTAGGAAAAACCACGTGGGAAAAAAATCCCAACGAAGGAAAAAGAGTACACATATTTAGTAAGACGCATTGCTAGGTGCCTCATTAAAAACCTTATAAGGAAAACCCCATGGGATAAACCTTAGNCCGTATTTTTGTGAGGCTGTTATTCAAAAATTTTTGGTATTGAAATGTGTTTGTGGTTCAATCAATATATTTGATTATGTAAGGACATTTCATAAAACTAGTCGTACGAATTCATAAGCTAACTGTGTTTATGAATTTTTAGTTAACTGTGTTCATAAAAGTTAAGGACCAAACGACATTAACTTTTGAACTTGGAACTCAAAGTTAAGGACTGAGTGTCCTTAACTTTTGAACTTGAAACTTGAAGTTAAGGACCAAGTGTCCTTAACTTTGGAACTTGAAAGTTGAAGTTCAGGACCAAGTGTCCTTAACTTTTCAATTTGAAAATATAAGTATAGGACTGCCTGTTCTTACCTTTTTAACATGTAACTCTAAGTTAAGGGCCAAGTGTCCTTAACTTTTGAACTTAAAACTTGAAGTTTAGGACCAAGTGTCCTTAAATTTTGAACCTGTAAGTCTAAGTTCAGGACCATTTGTCCTTAACTTTTGAACTTGAAACTTGGAGTCCAGGACCAAGTGTCCTTAACTTTTCAATTTGAAACTTGAAGTTCAGGACCAAGTGTCCTTAACTTTTTAACTTGGAATTCAAAGTTAAGGACTACATGTCCTTAACTTTTGAATTTGTTACTCTAAGTTAAGGATTGTCTGTCCTTAAATTTTGAACTTGAAACTCAAAGTTAAGGACTGCCTGTCGTTAACTTTCTAACTTAGTTTCTTTCACAGGATTTAAAGAAAAGTCTAGGATCAAAGCTTGATACTTTGTTGAAGATTTATGTGAAACCTGATGAAAGGAACATAGAGAGAGAATCTAGTGTTCCAATTACTAAAGAAGGAGTTGATGATCATTGTCATGTGTGACGACCCTTCCGGTCGTCTTAAGAATTTATGCCACGATCCTCTATTAACTGCTTACCCCGACTTTATTTTAGCTATTTTGATTTGCTGGGATGTTCGGTTTTGAGTTTCGGAGAGTTTTGGGACACTTAGTCCCTAAATGAGAGTTTAAGTGTTGGAAAGTTGGTCGTAGTCAGAACAGTGTGAAGACAACCTCAGAATGGAAATCCGATGGTTACATTAGCTCCGTTGGGTGATTTCGGGGTTAGGAGCATGTTCGGATTGTGTTTTGGAGGTCCGTAGCTAATTTAGGCTTGAAATGCCGAAAGTTGAATTTTTGAAGTTTCCGGTCCGATAGTGAGATTTTGATCTGAGGGTCGAAATGGAATTCCGGAAGTTGGAGTAGCTCCGTAGTGTTGAATGTGACGTGTGTGCAAAATTTCAGGTCATTCGGACGAGATTAATTCGAGGTTTCGATGTTGTTTTAGGTGTTCTAAGGATTGGTACAAGTTTGGATAGTGGTTTGTGACTTGTTGGTGCCTTTGGTTGAGGTCCCGGAGGCCTTGGGATGATTTCGAATGGTTGATGGAAAGATATTGGAATTAAAGTTGCAGCTTCAGCTGCTAGTTCTGTCATAACCGCACCTGCGGTTTGGGTTCCGCAGGTGCGGTGCCACAGAAGCGGCTAAGTGGCCGCAGAAGCGGAATTTGGCCATCTCTTCAGGAACCACAGATGCGGGTAGTAACCGCGGAAGGGTAACCGCGGATACGGAAAATGGTCCTTTAAGTGAAAGTCGCAGATGCGACCTAGGCTCCGCAGAAGCGGGACCGCAAATGCAGAAATCACTGGGCAGAACATATAAATTCTTGCCTTCGCGAAATTTAGCCATTTTTCATATTTTTCAAAATGGGAAGAAGCTTGGGGAGCACTTTTCAAGAGAGATATTCAGAGGAGTTCATTGTGGTAAGGTCTTTGGTCCCTAAACTCGTTATTGGAATGATTTTTATCAATTTAAGCATGAAAAAAATTAAGGAAAATCAGTGGTAATTTGAGTGATCATTTGAGGTCCGATTTTGATGCTTTTGGTATGACTGAACTCATGAGAGTGTGAGAATTTTGGAAATATAAATTTTACTCGATTCCGAGATGTGGCCCGAGGGGAGTTTTGGTCATTTTACCTAATTTTGCGTATTAGCTTAGAATTTAATTGTAGAATCAGTTACTTGAAGTGTTATTTACATTATGAAATTGAATTAAATAGATTTGGGCCATTTGGAGTCGAGTACTCGTGGCAAGAGCGTGATTTCAGATTAATTTTGAGCTGGTTCGAGGTAAGTGGCTTGTCTAACCTTGTGTGGGGGACCTCCCTCTTAGGATATGATATATTTGATAATTGAAATACCTTGTACGTGAGGTGACAAGCGCGTACTTGAGCTAATTGTTGAAAAATCCGATTTCTCCTTAAGTATTTCAATTGAGTTCTTTTACCTATTTTATCCTACTTGCGAATTTAGCCTGTTGCTAGTTTAGAAAAGCATGTTTAGTTGACTTAATTGCCTTTTTGCTTAAACTGCCTTAATTGCATTACGTGAAGCATGTTAGGCTAGAATTAGCTGTTACATGGTACGACATTTAACTTAATTGGGTATTCTTGTGTTGTTGCTGTGTGTCTTTACTTTGGGACTACGGGACGGCATCCCGGGAGATCCCCTGTATGTATTTATGATCTGAACTGAGATGCGGGATACCAAAAGATCCCTGGCACATATATTGAGGATACCAAGAGATACTGGGGATACCGAGAGATCCCTAGCATATATTGAGGATACCACGAGATCCTCGGGATACCAAGAGATCCCTAGCATTTATTGAGGATACCAAGAGATCCCTAGCATATATTGAGGATACCACGAGATCCTCGGGATACCAAGAGATCCCTAGCATTTATTGAGGATACCAAGAGATCCCTAGCATATATTGAGGATACCAAGAGATCCCCAGGATACCAAGAGATCCCCGGCTATCATCCTTGTTATGAGTGGTACTTCCTGGTGTTGCCTTTATTTCTATTTCCGTTATTGTACTCCTTGTTATCCTGTGTAGATTCTTACTATAGATTCTTAATTGTACTATTTATCTTATCCTGTCATCTCATTATTTGTTTAACCTCAGTAGGGCCCTGACCTTCCTCGTCACTATCCAATAGAGGTTAGGCTTGACACTTATTGAGTACCGTTGTGGTGTACTTATGCCCCATCTGTGCATGTTTTTCATGTGCAGATCCAGGTACCGCTACTCAGGCCTACCATCCTTGAGGAGACGACTGCTCTAGAGACTTCGAGGTACATCTGCCGCGTCCGCAGACCGAGAAGTCCCTTTTTATTCTAGATGTTAAACATTGGCCTTCTGTATTTTTTTTCTATTCTTATTAGACATTTCGGAGTTAGAACTATATAGTATTTTTCTTAGCTTGTGATTCATGGGTTTCCGGGTCTTAGATTTATGTATTGGTATTGAGAGTTAAAATGGTGTATGCCGAGCGGCACATTTAAACACTATTATTACTTTATTCCTATTTCAAATTGTTTTACTTCTGCAAATTTTGGTTTTTCTTCCGTAATTTAGGCTTACCTAGTCGTAGAGACTAGGTGCCATCAGGATGGTTCATGGAGGGAGGACCGGGGTCGTGACAAGTTGGTATCAGAGCTCTAGGTTCATAGGAGTCATGGATCACAAGCCGGTTTATTAGAGTCTTGTTGATCGGTACGAAGACATCTGTACTTATCTATGAGAGACTATGTAACTGTTAGGAAAATTTTCACTTCATTTGATTTCCTTGTCGTGTGAATTTTTGACATCACAATTCTAAACTTCTGTCTTCTATTCTCTCACAGATGGTGAAGACACGTGTTACCCGAGATGATCAAGCACCCGCGCCCTCTACTGCAGCCGTCAGAGGCTAGGGCCGG